GTATAGGGGTCATGCCATTTTTGGTCAAAACTGCTGAACACTGAAGCCCAGTGTGGGCAGGTAGTTGGTGTAAATCACCCATCATGAAATGGGCAAATGCGTTGAAAGAATCTCCAAAAATGTCACTGAATCCTGGGACTACAGGCACGTGATGCCATACTCAGCTGATTTTTTTCACTTTTCCTAGAGCTGAGGTCTTCCTATGTTGCCCAGGCTAGTCTTGAACTTCTGCACACAAGCAAAGTGCTAGGATTACAGGTATTAGCCACCACGCCTGGCCTCTCAAATGTTTTTAAACTGGTTATTTTAAGCAGTTTGGAGAAATAGGTAGGGGTAGGACATGAAGCAGTTTATAAAGGTGGGGCTATATTATCGGCACAGCAAAATAAAGAATGAAAAAATATTTATTTATACATTTCAGCTCCAGCAGCCAGCTATTTTTAAAATAGTTACCAATATTTTTTCCAAAGAAAGTTAAGATCTGAGACCATCCACTTGTAAGAAATCTAGTGACTTTTTGTTTCTTCGTTCCTCAGTAATTGTAAAGCTTTTTAAAAATTTTTTATTTCTCAGTCCAAGAAGAGTAAAAAAAGCAAAAGATATATGGAGCCAGAAAATTATTTATTAGTTCTGTTGACCTGGGACGATGACTGTCTGAGTGTTTAGTTCTTCAATCTGCAAAATGAAAATCATAATTCTTGCCTCTGCCTTCCTCACAGTGTTGTTGTGAAGATTAGATATGTATGAATGTATTCAATAAACTTAAAAACTGTAAAAGTGTTAATTATCATTGCCCGCTGAACTTGAGGTAGCAAAGGTAAAGATTGTTCTTGTATATGAACAGACTAAGACTGAGAAGGCCTTTAGAGAACCTTGAAGCTACTCTCTTGTCTACTACTAAGTATCCTTCAGAGGATAGTAGCAGACATTATTCAATGCCCCCGTTTTCTAATTCTTTATATGTTTTAATTTACCCTCACAACAACCATAGTGGTAAGTACATTATGAACCCCATCTTATAAATAAGGAAACTGAGACACAAGATTAACCAGCTGCCAAAGTTCACAGTATGTATATTTGGACTGAGCAGTGAAGACTCTGTGTTTTCATTTTCTTTTCTTTTCTTTTTTTTTTGAGTTGGAGTCTCACCCTGTCACCCAGGCTGTAGTGAGTGCAATGGCACATTCACGGCCAGCACAGCCTCAACTTTCCAAGTAACTGGAACTACAGGCGCACACTACCACGCCTGGCTAATTTTTTTTTTAATTGTAGAGATGAGGTCTTGCCAAGTTGCCCAGGCTGGTCTCGAACCCCTGGCCTCAGGCAATCCTCTTGCCTTGGCTTGAGCCACTGCGCCCGGCCAGTATGTGTATTTAAACCCAAGCAGTGTGACTCTAGAGTCCTTCTTAACACTCCTTATGGGTACTGTCTACCCTTAAGTATTTTAGGAGACATTCCCTATCTCTCAGTCATTTGTTCTCAAATAGGAGTTTTAAAGATTAAACCAAATGTATTATTATTATTATTATTATTGCAAAAAACCCACTGTATTTTAACCTGTATCCAAAAAAGGTAAAACGTGTTAAAAATGTGTCTTTCCGGGCTTCAGACACCAACCCCCAGGCCTCATGTGCAGGCGGGGCAAGAGGGTCTGCACGGAAGTTCAGAGTCCCTCTCACCCTAGAGAAAGGGATGCCGCAGAACTCCAGGCCGCTGGAGGGCAGGAGCCTCCTCTGAGGCCTCCTTCCTGCTCCAGACCCTCCAACAAAGAAGAAACATTTAGAATTCCTGAAACCTGTCCTGGAACGTGGGCAGATGGCCAGGGTGCAGCTGACAGAGAGGAGCACACAAGGGGTCATCATCCAGGCTCTCACCCGCTCCCCTTGCCCCTCCCAGAACCTGCACCTCCCCCCACCCCCAGGAGGGCTAGGGCCTGCACCCCTACTTTTTGGCAGGAAGGATGGGATACAACTCTGCTTCCTCCTCTTCGCTCTCCTCTTCCTCAGAATTATTGTTGCTTATGGTAACAATCTGGTGGTGCCTGGTAATCCACACAGGGCCGGAGCCCAACTTCGGGTGGAAGGTCACAGGTGGCTGGAGCTGGAAGTCATCGAGGCTGAGCATGGGCTGGCAGGACAACTTGAGGTTGGCCACAGGGACCTAAGTCTCCTGGTGGTCATGGTCCTGGGCTACAATTTCCACCATGTTACACTTGTCCTTGGCCCCCTTGGTGAGGCAGAGCATGGTCAACCACAGCACGTGCTCCCTGTGATCCTCCTCCTCTACCCTTAAGGTAAAGGACAAGGTGTGGCGGGAGTGCTCACAGCGGAAAAAGAAACTGTCCATGGTGACTGGGGCCTGCCCCACAGGCCCCCCCACCCACCCACACACATCCGGCTCTCCTGGCTCAGGAGCTCCAGGGAGGCCGCTGAGCAGGCAGCCATGCTGCAGGCCATGCCCAGGCCCCACCCAAATTAATTCTGAAAAAACATTTTAGGAATATTATTTTCCCTGTAATAGAGGATGATTTCCTCAAATATCTGCAAAGTAAGTCTGCTTATATCAACATGCACAAAATGGAATAATTCTGAGTCACTAAGCCACCGATTGGGGTTTACTGCATAAGGTGAAAACTGGAATGATGCTCATATGCTATACCTGTCTAACATTATAAGCTATGAAATTAATTATACTCTATTTTTGAATGCCTAAGAACTTTTCTAAAAATTGTGTAAAGGCACTATCAGATAATTTAGAGTTATGCAGATACAGTGTAACTTGCATAACCTTTTGTCTGAAGTCAAATTGTATATGTGTAAGAAATACTTGTTAGAAACATTTGATAATGTACAGAGTAGTATGTAGTGACACTATTCAGTGCGTTTTTGTATTTTTTGTTACATCTAACTTTTTATAAATATACTCAAAGAAACTTGGTAATAAAATGTATTTCCGTATCACCATAAAAAAAATTTTTCACCAAACTGAATGCAGCCTCTCACAGATAGCTGGTACACTGATTCCTAGAACACTTACCTAGTGGGGGAAGCCTGTACTACAAAGGGTCTGCCCTCCAAAAAATAATTCCGTTTTATCTTAGGTCCTCCTTCATGTGTCTAGGTGCTTGTAAGCTGGCAATAATTTGGGGATATACATAGGAGTAGAATATATAGCAATCCTAGGATATTCATATATTCAATTCTGCTAGGTTGGGTAAGTTGTATCAATTTACACTTCCACTAAATTGTACTTATTTAACACCCGCATAAGAGTTTCTGATGTTCCACCTTCTTACCAACACTTCATATTGTCAGGGTTTTTTTCTTTTTCTTTCTTTCTTTCTCTCTTTCTTTCTTTCTTTTTTTTTTTTTTTTTCCCTGAGAAAGCAGAATTTATTAAGAGGACTGAAAGGGACCCGAGGGGAGTTGTCCAGTATTGTCAGTCTTTTTAATGTGATAGTATTTTATTGTAGTTTTAGCTTGCTTTTTCCCTGATGACCAATAAGTTCAAGCATCTTCTTTTATGTTTATTGGACATCGTATTAGTCATTTATATGTGACTTATAAAAATATTTATTTCTTATTCCTCTGTAATGGTGGTGACTGTTATGGAGCTTTACTTGTTAATGCTGGGAATCAGCCTGAAAGAGCAAGCTCCTATTTGGGATATGCTCTTCTTATTTCAGAGGAAAAGAAAATAATGACAGAAATGATTGATATTTTTGAAACTTCTGCTTGGAATAACTGTAGTCACGTCCATCCATATTCCATAAGCCAAAGGATATCACAACAGTGTGCTAAGTGTTAATGGGGCAGGGAGTTATGCTCCTCCCACAGGAGGCATGACTAGTCACATGCCCATGAATGGGGGTGAATAATCCTTTCTCAGGGAAAGGAATGGGTGGGGTACACATATTCTGCAACAGTAATATAGTCTACAACTTGGTACTGCCATAAAAAAAATGGCCAAACTAAACAAATAGTAGCATTTGTAATAGGTTACAATTTAATAATCATTTAAATCTTAGAATTAAATCTTACGGCTACAACAAAAAGGCTTGTCTGACTTATCTTTTCACGTTGACAATTTAGATTTGGAATTTGATCAACACTTTCACCCAAAAAAGAGTAAATTACTTAAACGGTAGATGCTTAAGAAATAGTGCACATTAAAGATTACTTTGAGGATTAATAGATGAAAGATCACTGAGTATAACAATTTGGCCAATATGGAAATATATAGTGTCTTTGTGTTTTTACTTTTAAAAAATCATTGAAAAGTCAGGATTCTTAGGGAGAGCTATACAAATTATTTGCATGTAAATATGTGTATATGCCACACACAAAAAAATGTCAGAACACAACCCTTTAAGTATGGTTTGGTACTTCAGACATAAAATTTTGGAGGTCTAAGTTTGATCGAAAAGGGTTGCAAGATTATGCTCCCATATCTCCATATCTGTGGTGACAGTTTGTTCTTTGTTTGCTTGTTAGTTTGTTTTTGAGTTGAAGTTCTCTCTCTATTGCCCAGACTGGAGTGCAGTGGCACGCTCACGGCCACCCCAGCATCAACCTGCTGGTCTCTGGCGACCCTTCTACCTCAGCCTTCCAAGTAGCCGAATCTACAGGCGCATGCTACCACACCTGGCTAATTTTTTATTTATTGTACAGATGAAGTCTTGCCAAGTTGCCCTAGCTGGTCTCGAACTAGCAGGCTCAGGCAATCCACTTGCCTCGGCCTCCCAAAGTCCTGGGATTACAGGCTGAACCACTGAGTCCTACCTTTTTTTTTTTTTTTTTTTTTTTTAATAACTAATCATCGTGTGGATATGCAGTAATTTTTCCTTCCAACCTTAAGAGTTTCTGATTCTTGAACAGTTCTCCTTTAATGTCTTCATATAAGGATGAAGTAATATTATTATTAGCTTTTAATACTTTTAGTAATAAATATGGAGCATTTTCTACAGCATGTTTTATTAACTGAACATTTATTTTGCTTTTCAGCGGGGATCTGATGAGCTTCTTTCATCTGGCATCATTAACGGACCTTTTACCATGAACAATTCTACTCCTTCTACAGGTGTGTATGGTGAGTTTTTATTTTTTAATGTTTTCTTTCCATATAGCTTTAAAAGACTTTTTTCTTTTTCAGTTTATAAACATGTTGAAGTACCAGTGTTTCTAACAAAAGCTAAAATTTGTCACAGTAAAGTACTATATACTGTTACAGAGATGAAGTCACTAGTTTTAGCAAGTTTTAAGGAAATTCATTTGTATCTAATTTGATGGTTCTTTTTTTGATATTCTTCATATTACACAGTTATGATAAAAGTACTATCAGTAACTTGGTGATCCAGAACTATTTTGAGTAAAAGAACTAGATTTAAAGCTTGTGTTGAATGATGATAGACTTAGAAAAGATGTATTAAAACTATATCATATAATTTTTAAAAATAGAAATATATTTCATATACTATAACATACCACATGATTTTAAAATAAATGTTCTTGAAATTTGGTGACTGTAAAATGAATTGGAGGAGTGCAATACTGGAAGGAGAGTAAACAGTTAAGAGACTATCACTGTGATCCTCGTAAGAGATGGTAACTTTAACTTGCACTATGGCTGTGGTAATGTGATAGAGAGAATTTGAGAACTTACAGGAGGTGAAATTAATAATTGGTGTTTTTTTGTTGTTGTTGTTTTTTTTGAATCAGAGTCTCACTCTGTCACCCAGGCTGGAGTCCAGTGGCATTCTCACAGCCACCTCAACCTGTTGGGTTCAGGTGATCCTTCCGCCTCAGCCTTCCAGGTAGCTGGAGCCACAGGTGCATGTCACCATACCTGGCTAATTTTTAAATTTATCGTAGAGATGAGGTCTTGCCAAGTTGCCCAGGCTGGTGTTGAACCCTTGGACTCTGACAATCCTCTTGCCTCGTCCTCCCAAAGTGCTGGGATTACAGGTGTGAGCCACTGTGTCCGATCAGTAACTAGTGATTAATTTAATGTTTGAATGAGGAATTTCATCAGTGATTTCCAGGTTTTGAACTTGGACTTGGATAATTGGATAGATGAATGGTAGTGCCATTTATTTCTATTAGAGAATTTAGGAAGAACAGAGTTGGACACAGCAGATTCAGATTTGCATAAAGTTTGAGGTTCCTATGGAACATCAGAATGGAAATGTCAGATGGGCACTGGATCCCTAGTCTCAACATAATGAAATAAATTTAATAGTCACTATCATACACAGTTAACAGTTGAAGCCATGTGAATGGAAAATTTTAAAGAATGTGTGATTTTAATTTAAACATTTTTGTACTTATAGGAAGTTGTAGGGTGAATGTACTTCCCTTTCTAGGCCATGAGCTTACATAGTGTTTGGGACCATGAGGATGTAGGTGTTTGGGAGGGTGAATGGCCTCTATGTGCGTATTCTGTAAGAGAAGTGGACCAGGTTTTTAGATAATAGTAAAACACCAGGTGGAAGACTTCAAACAAATCACTATTGCACAACATGTATCAATGAACCTGCAGTGCATGTCAGTGACTATTTCACGTTACCACATGTTAAAAAAGTAAAAGATAAAGTTTTGATTTTTTTGTCATAAATAAGTTCCTCAATGTCCAAAATTCCATTAATAAGCCAAATATCATCACAATAAAATAATAGATTCCAAAGCTATGCTATTTAATATTAAGTGATTCATTTTTCACTATTTCATTTTTTAAAAGTGCAGTCAAGTTGTTGGTAGGTGATCCACGAGATGTCTCTGAGTGAAAAGGGTTAAAATTAGTTTCTAGACTTGTTCATCCCACATATCTGCTATGTCATATCTTTTGATAATCTTTTACCTGGTGTTTTACTATTCGAGCAGACAGTGCGGTCTCATTTTCTTCTTCCCCCATTAATAATAGGTAATTTATTGCTTAATCTGTTGTTCCAAGATAATGAGGAAGGATACACTCGTGATTCCTGAAAACCGCTTCTCATCTGATTGATCGTATCTCAGCATATATTTCATCTCATTATTTGCTTTTTCATGCAATTTGAATGGAAAACTTCAAGGAAACATACATTTTTGAAAAATTTGGGTTTGCATAAGTTTGTCCTGTATAATCACCAGCAATCTCTTTATGTCCCTGAGGGGTCATCTGAATGGTTTGCTAGATTTATGATGTACCCTCTGAGGGGGCATCTCAGTTCAAAGGGTCAAAAATTGGATCTATTCAGTTCATTCTGGCTTATTTCAGTGTAACAATTAACAATAATTTTTTTTTAATGAAGATGTTAAACAGTACAGAACATTCTACAATTGGAATAATTTGACCAAAGTGTGACTGTCTCAGTCAGCCTAGGACAGGGATATCCATCTGTGGCCTATTAGGAACCAGGCTGCACAGCAGGAGGTAAACATCAGGCAAGCCAGCGAAGTTTCATCTGTATTTACAGCCCCTCCTCATCACTCACACCTGAGCTCCATCTTCTCTCAGATCAGTGGCGGCATTGGATTCTCATCGAGTGTGAACCTTATTGTAAACTGCACATGGAAGTTATCTTGGTTGCGTGCTCCTTAGGAGAATCTAATTCCTGGTGATCTGAGGTGGAACGAAGGTGGTGATGCTAGCGATGGGAAGCAGCTGCAAATACAGATTAACAATAGCAGTGAGATTTGACTACGCATCTTCCCACCACTCCCCATGGAAAAGTTGTCTTCCACAAAACTGGTCTCTGATGCTAAAAAGGTTGGGCACTGCTGGCCTAGGGCATATGGTCATTCTATTTAGGTTTTTTTGTTTTGTTTTTTGCTTTTTTGAGTACGAGACTCACTTTGTCAAACAGGCTGAAATGCAGTGGCATGCTTACAGCCACTGCCCTTCAGCTTGCTGGACTCAGGCAATCCTTCTGCCTCAGCCTTCCAAGTAGCTGGAACTACAGGCATGTGCCACCATGCCCTGCTAATTTTTTGATTTATTATGGAGATGAGGTCTCGTCAAGTTGCCTGGGCTGGTCTTGAACCCCTGAGTTCAGGTAATCCTCTCGCCTTCACCTTCCAAAGTGCTGGCATTACAGGCATGAGCCAGTATGCCCAACTTGCTTTTCCTTTTAAATTTATTCTTAAGAATTAATGGCAGAGACTGTTTGCTGTGTGCCCCAATACTATTCTTTCCATTTTCGTCCGTAGCAGAACTATAAGTTTTATATGGGCACATTGCCACCCAGATTAAACTACCTACTTTTCTAGCCTTCCTTAGCTAGATGATGTTATATGATTAAATCCTGGTAGATGAGATACAAGCAGAAGTATTGTATGGGATTTTTGGAATATCTCTGCATGGGTACGCTGTTTTCGTGCTTTAAAATAAATCCTAATATCTGTGGCACTTCCATCTTAGATGATAAGGGTAAAGGCAGCACCCTAACAGGGAGACATGTAGAGCCTGATAACTTTATATGTCATCATACCACGTCTGGAAGTCTTACATTTAGACTTTTTACATGAGCAAGAAATTAACTTCTTAAGCAACTGTTATTTTATATATCTACAGGTAGCTAAACTAAGTTTTTGTTGCTGTTATGAGCAGAAATTTTTTTTCCCTATTTACATTTGTTATGGATTTGTTAATATAGTACTACTAGTATAGAGAACAGATACTGGTTTTTTATTATTTTGTGTATAAATACTTTACCAAAATGTCTTAGCTATTATCCTTTTGGATTTTGTAGTTACTCAATGATGTGCCTTCAGATAAAGATAATTTCAAGTATATAAATATATGGATTATTTTTATCAACCTGTTAAGTGTTCATTGGAACCTTCCTGTATAAGTTGAAGAAGAGTGGCAATAGTGACTATCTCTATCTTGTTTGTAATTTTGATAGAGGTGGCTTTATTATTTAATGTTTATTCTGATATTTGCTGTTACGTTTTGGTAATAATTCTTTATTGTAATTTATTTATTTCTTTTTTTTAGTTGGGAGTCTCACTTTGTTGCTTAGGCTAGAGTACAGTGGCATGCTCATAGCTACCGCAACCTCGACCTGCTAAGCTCAGGTGATCCTTCCACCTCAGCTGGAACCACAGGCATGTGTCACCATGCCTGGCTATTTTTTGTTTTTTTAATTTGTTCTTGCCATATTGCCCAGGCTGGTCTCTAACCCCTGAGCTCAGGCAGTTCTCTTGCCTCAGCCTCCCAAAGTGCTGAGATTACAGGCATGAGCCACCACACCTGGCTTCTTCATTATACTTTAATCATTTCCTTTCTTTTCTGTTTTACTTAGTTTTTTGTGTTGTTGTTTTTTTTTTAACCAATGGCTATACAATCTTTTGTGTTTTGTTAATTGTGATATTTGGTCTTCGTTAATTTGCTGATTTAGGGAAATATTTTATGATTTCCTGATCTTGACCCATTCTTGCATGCCTGGAATGAACTAGCTTGCTCCTGGATCATTATTTTGATATGCTGCATTAATTCAGGTATAGGTTAGATTGCTATAATAGAGCAATAAATACGGATCAAAAAATGCAGACTTAAGTTTATTTCTAAGTTCTTATGAAGTCTGTGTAAGTAGTTAGGGGCTAATTTGATTTCTTGATTGTGCTGAGGACCAGACTTTATCTATTTTGTTCTTTTTTCATCCTCAATATATGACTGCCTTCTCAAGATCTAAAATAGAACTCTCTTTCCATCATTTTCATTGGAAGGGTAACAGGGAAAGTTGAGGGTGGACTTTATCATTCATCTTGGGCAATAATGAGAAGTACGCGAAGGGCAACAGAGATGAGAGATGGAGGCTGAGTCCCATATAGGAATAAGACCTAAAAACTGTACTTTCCCCCCCTCCTTCCTTCCTGTTAGCTACAACTTAATCACATTGACACACACAGCTTCGAGAAGAGAAGAAGGGTCTAGGAAATTGGTCTTTATTCTGGTGTGCCTGTCCAGTCATAACTCAGGGAGTTCTATTATTTTAAAAGGGAAGGAGAGTAGAGATACTAGAAAGGACACTAACAGCCTTAATCACAAATACATTCAAAACACTACATACTATATTGTATTTGGGTTATGTTTGTTTAGAATTTTTG